TGGTGCGAAATTTACGGAGAAATTCAAAAATTTAGCTTGGCGCAATTTTTTCAGTTTGCGCACTTGGCGAACTTATATATAGCAACCTATTTTCCTTTCCCTTCCATTGTGAAGGAACGGAAAAAAAGTCACAGCGTTCCTAGCTTTTTACATTATGCATGAACGGGAAAAAAAAGTTGCATCGTTCGTACTTTCTAATAATTTTAACAAAGTGCCTAAGCCACATTTGATGTTATAATCGCTTTCAACAAATATGCCAAATTTCAAGACCCCCCAATAATATAAATTCACGTATATCTTCGGAAATTTTGAATGAAAAACTGTAATTTGCTGCAGGTGTGCTTAGAAATACGTCTACTTTAAGATGATGATAACAATTTTATAGATTATAATTCAAAATTTTTTTCGAAAAATTTATAAAAATTATTTAAAAATACAGTTTAAAATAACATAAAAACGGGAGAATTTATTGGATGAACTTAAATTCGAAATGTGAAAGAAGAATTAGTAAGTTTATTAAAAAGAGATATTAATAATATCGCCAAACTCAATTAATTTGCCAAAATTTTGAGATCTCTTTTTTAAAAACTACTCTGCGGTTTACAAAATTGTCAGTTTGGGAGTATTTTAGTCGTAAATTGAAATTGGAAAAACCTTGCATGTCATTTCAGAAAAAGACCGATTTGTGTCAAAATACCTGTTAGGACAGTGCTATTATAAATCTAATATAAGCCTAAGTGCGCTTCGAGACATGAAAACGCAATTGGATTTTTCATCGCCCAGTAAAAGGAGATATAGAACGTCCTCTTTAGGCAAAAGATGTCGCTGAGGGACTAGTTTCGTTTTGCGATTTTGCGTGTTCAGTATAAACGGCGTATCACTTTTCAAATTGTTGCCCAAATGTTTAGAGTCCTGCATTATATTTGAAGAAATTAAATAATGAAGAATCTGCATAAATGCATGTATGTTTCTCGCATTGTGATAAACAACGGTACCTAGAGCTATCCAATTTTAAATGACGCAATCCTACTGCGAATTTGGGCATGTGGAAGACCAAATTTGAATTTTGGAATTTGTTTTATTATCGATTTCATATTTTGTAAAGCTTTAATGAATTTTCGAGTAACAAACTCAATGATTTAAAAGCGAGCAATGGCAACACTCCAGGCGGGGGAAAAAAAACCTTTTTTATTTCCAGCGGGCGCGGTGGAAATCCTAAGGATATGCTCATTTTAAAATTATTTTGCGCCATTGCTACTGAGCTTAATTTTATGGTTTGAATGCAAAGAACTTGATATTTAATAAATAAAGGTAACACACAAAACGTTAAAAAAACGCTCCTTTGGACGTAATTTAAAATCTGAAACCTTTCATTTTGGGGAGGGGGCTTGTAGTTAATTTTATTTATTTATTTATTTTTGCGCAGTCTACGAACTTTAAGCTCAATCCCTTATCATTGAATTATTCTCGTCTATTAGATAAACATCTCATCTTATGTAAATTTACTCAGCCTCGCATATGAAGATATTGACCTGATTTAAAAAAGACATGTCATCAGCCTGCTTTTTTGAAGAGTTAATAACTGGAAATTTTAAAGATAAAATCTTCACTCATTCAGGGCCTATCACATAATTCGCTTCAGCCAGTTACGTAGATATATTACAAAATGTCCGGCTGCGGTAAGATAGCTTCCCTGCAAGGCAGGTGTAGGATTGCCAGAAAATGGCCTGTTATATGAAGTCGTTGGGGAACTGTACTCTGGTGCTTTGTCGTGAAGCCGTCTTCACCGTTATAGTCCGATAGCCTGAAGGCTCGGATGCTGATTGTTTCAGCGTTCTTGTTGTAGTTTTTCGATGGCTGTAAACGCGCTTTTGGAGCTCTCCTGAGTAACACTGGCTAATAAATTGTTTTTATTCTTCATCAAGTGTTGTCGTTAATCACTCCAAATCCACGAACCCATAGAACGCAATATATTTTATTGCAGCTTTTAAAACTATGCTTTGTCACATTCTAACATTTTCCCCTGTCATCCTTGATCTAGGAGGGAAGGTGTTGTGTGGGTAGTACAAACAAAAGGAACATAAGCTCAGCAAAGAGCAAAATTTATTAAAATACTGATACAAGAAAATTTTTTGAAAATTAAATTCTAAACAGCCGTAGGTAAGGTTTTTATCTCCTTCTAACTATGTCATTGCTGACTATAACCGGTAATTGATATTTAAATCTGATGTTATATGCAAAATACTTAATCACTGAAATAGTATGCATTCAGCTGGTGATTTAAAAAAAATGCAATAGTATGTAAAGAGTAACTCTATATGCGGACGATCTTAACTGTTTTCATGCTTTTAAAACTGAGTATATTACTAACATAAGCTTAGAAATTTGTTAGGGAAGACTACCAAATTATTGAAATTTTTGTTCCAGAATATTATATCGTTTTATGTAATTTTCGCTTATATGAAAATGGTATTGTATTGCGTATTGTTTCAAAAAATAAAAATTTTCAAACTTTCTTTATTGGAAAATATGAGTGAAACATATTAGTCTGAAATTGAATATTATTTATTAAAGAAATATAAGATACGCAAGTCCATGTATTGCATGTTTCAACACAAAATATCTGCTTGCGATATCATCAACATCAAACCAAAATCACAAATGCGCAAACCCGTTATTTTTAGGAAAACGTTTTTAAAGGTTTTGCATCCGCTTGATTTTGAGAAAAATGAATTCTCTACACTCTTATTCTCATATATTTATTTTACACGCTTATGTATGATCTCTACGCAATTATTCACGTATATTTTTCTGACAGAATGTTTATTCCTTCTTTTTACCCTATAATGGGAAACATAAAAAATTAACATGGAAAGTAAATGTAATAGAACACCTCCCCCCGCAAAAAAAGTCCCATTTCGTAGTTTTGGCGTGATGCAGACGATTCCACGCCATGTAAAAAACATGAATGAATGTTGAGAATCTATAAAAACTCTTGTTGCTTGAAAATAATTTAAAAAATTTCATAATCAATCTAAAAAAAAACCTTTAAAAACGTAATAATAACCGATACAGGTTAAAACATTGATTTGAAACTTCAATGACTGTTTTTAAGGTATATATATATTATTTTGTGTAATACTAAAATCAATAAACTGTTTTTAGCAATGATTATTCTATTTTCAAAATGTAGTCCTTAGCTCTAAGAATATAAACAGGAGATTAATTTGACAGGATAATTTATTTAAAAATAATTAACTTTTTACAAAGAGCGATAATTCGAAATGTAAGAAAGAAATAATTAATATTCCTGAGGTAAGCTTCTACATTCTCTATTTCAATAGCATTAATCTTGTTCTTGTGCTCTGAAATAACGCTGAACGAGATTTGTCATAAGAGTCTGTTAAAGAGAAAATTTTATTAACACAGTTATGAATACAACATTTAAAAATATTGTGTCATAATCTATTTAGCAGCATTCTAAACCACTTTTAACATAAACATATTTTATATGAAAGTGTCAGAAAGTAATCTTAATATTTTCAGTTTATTTTGCTAATGTAATATACACAAACAGATGTGAAAGCTTTTTTTAAAAAAATTTGCACTATGCTTAATGTAGTTGTGCCAGCGTATTAGTAACTTTTAGATTCTTCAAGAAGTCTTAACTGATTGACAGCTTAGCCACAACGGTTTGCTTATTTTATTTTAATGGCCGTGCGAATTATTGGGCTGTTAGGAGAGTTCTACAATTTGTTGACGGTAAACGTTCATCAAGCAATATTGAAACAATAAAGAAATTAGCTAATACTATAAACAGCATTTTATTCGAAGATTTTTTGCTATTTCTGGCAGATGGAAAATTCCATTCTCAAAAAGCTGTTGAATTTATTTGTGAAAAAGCTATCAAGATGTTACATGACAGCCTCCAAATATATGATCTCCAGTTCATTTAGAGAATTTGGAAGTGAAGTCGAGTGAAATGAATGAAGACATCTTAGGTGTACTTAGGATTTGTAAACTGAAATGACTCTATAACCCATAACTGATATTTAAATCTGATATTATGTGCAGAATACTTAAGCGCTGAAATTGCATGCATTCGACTCATGATTAAAAAAATGCAACACTATATAAAGGGTAATTCTATATCCGGACGATCTTATAATGGGATTTAACTGTTTTATGGTGAATGTTTGACTGTATGTTTCTGTCAAACATTCACTGAAAATGAAGCCGAGCATTGTCATGATGAAACAAAACACTAAGACATTTAGTCAATTCTTCACGTTTCACATAAGTTTCTGATTTTAGAACTGCTGTTTTCGAACGGTATTTCTCTGTATCAGTCATAAAAATTCGCAGTAATTATTCTTTTATTAGAGAAATCGTCCCATGTTTCTCTGTACTCTCCTAACAATCTGGTTCTACGACATTAACATTTTCAAACAATTTAAGTTATCGAAAATTATGTGAAAGTCATGCTGATAGATACAAAAGAAGGCATTCAGGAACAAAACATCCAGGAATGTTAGAAATGCCGGGCAAATGTGTGTTCTGATGGATGTTATTTCGAAAGGGAACTAGATAATGGTTTCTTAAATTTCCACAAACTTTTTGAACTTAGGATACGTTCTTACATTCATCTTTGATGCGACTGTTATATTTATTGCCATGTTAATGCTATATTTTGATTCACACTTGTATTTGGTATTTCAAGAGATGAATGTGCGTATACAGTTGTGAAAAATTCTAGCATTCACACAGCTTGATGCTATTTCGAAAAGCTCGAAAGTCGTAAATAATACTGTGATGTATATATGGTAAAGGGCACCTAGGGTGAATAGCAAATCGCGTCATAATTAAAAGCACTATATGAATTGACCCCGTTTATCTCCGTATTAGTTGAAGGCTGGTACCATGTCAAAAACTCCCTAGAGAGGAGTGTTAGGACATATTCACTTGCATCAACACCACTAGATTCCCATTCCACGGGCAATGGACTTTTTAAAATTGAATTCTCTATAAAACACCATTTCGTTAAACCGGCTTTCGAGGGTCACCATTCTTGAAAGTACGGAGAATACGAAGGGCGTGGGTGCACATTGAAACCGTTATATTGCCCATAGCGCTATCTACTCGAATGGCATATGCCATTAACCTCCGAGACAGCAAAAGCTCCCTTTCCGATATTACAAACTGAGGTCGTGTATTTTGTGCCCTAGAACCGAGACTGCCAGAGTAAAGTATATGGTGAATATGGGTGATTTCAAGTCTTTTCTTGAAAAATCACACATCACAAGGCGAAATAGAAAACTTTTCCATTTAGTTTGCTATATCACTAATTGCTCTTTCTTCATAAACGTTTAACGTATAAGTATAGTTCTTTGAAATTGTATCAATTAACCTCACTGCCGAACGTAATCAAAAATAGATTGATTAGAAATGGAATTTTAATTTCTAGAGACATTAAGAATTTTTGAAAGCAGGAGTGATGAAAAAATGAGCAACACCTTCCCCGGGAATCGAACCACGGACCTGTGGAATACGCGCCCAGCGTGCAGACAACTAAACCACGAAGACGGGAGAAATACCTTATATACTCCCCCCCCCTTTTAAAGGACGACTGGGGTTTTTAGGGGACCCAATCGCCAAATCCTGGGTGTGGAGAATCATCATCCACCACCCTTTTAGTTCGGACGCCACTGTAGAGACGTTAGGATTTTTTGGAAGCAGGAGACGTGAAAAATGAGCAACGCCTTCGCCAGGAATCGAATCACGGACCTCTGGAATATACACCTAGCATGCAGACCACTACACCACGAAGGCACGCTAAGAAGGCGGGAGAAATACCTTATATACTCCAACCTTTAAAGGGCGACTGAGGTTTTAGGGGACCCAATCGCCAAATCCTGGTTGTGAAGAATCATCATTCACCACCTTTTAGTTCGGGCGCCACTGTACAGAAATTAGTATTTTTTGAAGGAGAAAAGCTGAAAAATGAGCAATGTCCTCGCCGGGACTCGAATCACGGACCTCTCGAATACGCTTTGAGCGTGCGGACCACTACACCACAAAGGCATGCCAAGAAGGCGGGAGAAATACCTCATAAATTAAGTACATGCTTCATAACGACGCAAAGCTCAAAAGAAGAAAATTATGAGTAAATTTCTTCGTTTGAATTCAGTCCAACGTTGAACCCTATCCGATGATATGCCAAATAATTTTGAACTTTCAATTCAATAGTGCGTTAAATTTTTATACATGTACTTTCTGATTTTTTCTGGTTTTAATACTCGCGGAAAAAGTTTCTAAGTATCCATCAATTCAGTAATGTACTTAACATGATACGCCGAGTAAGATGAACAACTGAGAGCAACAAATCCGTAAAATGAGGACAGGCGGTTGTCATGTATACTACGAGACTTATAGGCTGAAAGAATGAGAATTTAAAGGCTGTGCAAGACAGCACTGATATGATGGAACATTAATTGGCTCAAGCTATTTCTAGCGTCAAAAGAGTGCCCGAAGAGGATATTTTCTCATATTTTTAATATGCTGGATTTAAAATCCATATTAAAATAGCATATTAAAAATATGAGAAGATGTTTAAATTATCCTCTGTTATGAATTACAATACCTTTCTTAAAAACAGTTCTTGGAAAAGAAGTAATTACGTATGTTTTATAATTCTGTTTATCTGTTTTTAATTTTTTTTTAGAAGAAGCATACTAGTTCAATTACACAGAATTGTGAAGCAATCTTTTATTTCCTTCAAATAAAAATTGAAATCCAGCTTTATTTGGAAACGTTATTTCGAAACTAACTTTTTACTTCCAAAGCAAAATTTAATGCAAGCTAGAATAAAATTAGAATTTTGCTTTAATACCTTGAAATGCCATCTCTATGTTTTTGCTCACCAAAAGTTAAATCTGTTAAATCAGTAAAATAGTAATTCTACAGCCTGCATGCAATAATATCACCCTCCCTATCTTATATGAAAAAAACATTTACCTCATATGCATGAGTATCCACTTCTCCTTCTTTCTCATATTCTATGTAGCAGCATCTCTGAAAATGTTAAAGAGAATAAGTCGAATGGAAATGAGGCGATAGCTAATACGTGAGAAAAGAGTAAGCTGCGTTTAAGATATCATTAATAGAATGCCATTATCCAATTTTTAAGGTCATTCTTGGCGCCTGTTTACTCTGTGTACACATAAATGCACCCAGATTGCTTCAAAAATAAGTATATAGTCCTATTTTAGGTATTTCATATGCTTTATTTTGAACTGAAACAACTATTTGCAGCTACGCTTTTTATATACACTGGTTATCATCGATTAAGGGAAAATCACAAAAGTGACGATTACTCGAAAAGTTACATGTAGAATTTAATGAAACTGAACCACAATATATAACACATAGTATGGTATAAAATAACACCAAGAGAAATTACCAGACAATTACGGTGTTACAGAAATTAGCAGATATATAAAATAAACAAATCGGATGTGTCAGCTTGGTATAGGAAAATTACGTTCAATATGGAGTATGATCTCCCCTAGAAGTAGTACAACAGGTACAGCTATGTGCGATGCTGTCAATTATGCAGTCTAGAAGGAGTAAGTGAGAGGAGTTGCTCTTACAAAGCAGTTGCAAGGTTCTGAAAAGGAAGACTGAGAGCAGTTATACATCTTCCTAAAGCATCCCAAACATTCTCGATAGGATTCAGGTCCAGGGATTGAGCTGGCCACTCCATACGCTGAATTGTTTGCTGCTGTAGATAATCACCTACGATGCAAGCCGTGTGCGGTCTAGCGTTGTTGTCCTGTAGCAGGAAATTGCCACCTATTGCCCTTTCATAAGGGCACACATAAGCATCAAGGATGTCATTTCTATAGACCTGAGCATTCATGGTTCCACGTGGAAAGAAATAAAGGTCTGCGCACCCACCTACAGAGATACCACCGAAAACACAGACACTGCCTCCTCCATATGCATCTCTTTCACGGATGTTTGACTAAGGGTTCCAGGTTCTTTCCAAATCAAATAACCCCTATTATCACTTTGGAGGCTAAACCTGGACTAATCGGTAAAAAACTACCCCTCCATTGATCGGCTGTCCAGTGGACATGTTGACGTGCCCAATTCAAACGTTCCCTTCTATGATGTCACGTTAGCGGCACGCAAATGCCTGGTCGCCTCGGGTACAGACCTCCTTCGTGAAGCCTTCTACGCATGGTTAATGTTGACACTAATTTTCCAGTGGCTGCAGTAAGGGAGGGTCGAAGTTAAAATGCTATTCCTTCGTGCGCATAACAACAAGGTCATCAGCACTCGTCATAGCAGTTGGCAGTTCTTGGCTGAACATCCTGGATGCCGAATCTAAGGTTAGAAATTGTTGTTGAAGTCTGCAGACCACAGAAAGACTCACATTTAGCCATCTGGCCACTTCTGTATGACTTTGTCCTACCTCTAATCTCCCCAAAGCTCTCCATCGCAGTTCTTCGGGCAAATGATGCCTGGAAGTAATTGTTACAAATTGGCGATCGCAGATCACAGTATCATAACGAAATTTGCTTTTCGCAGATGACGCATTTCGATTACAACTCCCCAGTTTGCACACTGCAGTTTTACTAAGCAATTACTATTTGACAATTAATTCAAATTTCAAGTGGGTTAGCTTATTTTGAACGAATTATCGCTATTTTTGTGATTTTTCCTTTATTTTTGAAAACTTGTGTATTTCCAAACATATTCTGGCCGCAAGGCTACAAAAATATACTTATATGCTTTAGGATAAAACACTTAACATATTTACATACCCGAAAAATATACATAAATTTTTAGAATCGTACTGTCTGGGATATAAATAAATTATAGACAATAATTTTAAAAAGGAATAAAAATATTAAAAAATCTGATGTGTACACCACATGACTTCCTTGCACGGTATATTAAATTATACGCATTTTTTCTTACATTTCATTTAAACTTATTGGATTGAATTAAATCTACTTCGTCGACAGCGTATAAACCACAATAGAACAAATGCACTCTTTTAAAATTCACTCTATTTGTTTACCATAGGCTACACTCTGACGCTAGATTTACTTAACAGCGTTACATTTCGTCCATATTATAATTCATAATGCATATAAATTTATATCATTTGAAGAATTATCTAATAGTTGCCACATGTTCTATTCAAATACTATAATAAATCTAAAACGATGTATAAAAGAAATTAAGCAAATAAAACGAAAAAGAAACAGTTTTTCACAGACGATTCAGTATTTGTCATTCAATTTATTCAGTTTTCACTTCCCGACAAGGCAAAAATACATAAAAACTTAAAATATCTATATTAAAAATTACGAAGTAAATCTTAAACACTTATTTCCTCTAATAAATTCCAGAATGGATTAAGCATGATTTAATTCTCAATAATAAAAGAAAGCGTTATCTTTGTTGTTGCGAAGTTTAGTTTCTCTAGATTGGCAACAAATCCGCTATTTTGCCAGTTTAAAATGTAAACAAACATGTCCGCCATCGCAAAATTCTTAGCTGCACTTAAACAACTTTTTAATTGTTGATAACTCCACAAATATTGCACCCAAATTTACAAAAGGCATAAAAACCTTAACCGGAAGATAAGAACAACATAATTCAATCATTTTTAAAGGAAAAAATGCACAATTTACAAACATACAAGAATAAGGAAACTGAGCTCACTGAGCCGAGTAACATATAAATATATACACATATTTACAAACTTTTGGTGCGGCCGATTGCAACCAAAATAAGAGGTTCACATCTACATGTTATAGCAGTCCTACATACAAAATTTCAACGTTCTGAGGCTACTCGTTTTTGAGTTATGCGAGATACGTACGTACACACAGACGCCCCGAAAAATTCGCTTCAAAATTCATTTTAAATCAGTTTTATAATTTTTTTGGGGGAAAAGAGTCCTTTATTCTGTCCTTACTTGCGGATTTCACGCAAAAATATTATTAAATTGCATTGAATAGCGGTTAAAATGGATGATTTTTTTTTGAAATATGATACCTGAAGTTTTTCACGATTACAATACTTCCTTTTTACTTCGTACAAGGAAGTAAAAATTCTGAAAGGTTTCAGATTTTAAATTACGTCTAAAGAGGCGTTTTTTTAACGTTTTGTGTGTTACCTTTATTTATTAAATATCATGTTCTACGTACTCAAACCATCAAATTCAGTTCAACAGCAATATCGCAAAATAATTTTAAACTTACCATATCTTTAGAATTTACGATGCAGAGTCTCGTGCGCTGGAGGGAAAAAAAATTTTTTTTTCGTACAGTGTTGCCATTGGTCGCTTTGAAATAATTTAGTTTTTTAATCAAAAATTTGTTGAAGTGTTACAAAATATGCAATCGATAATAAAACAAATTTCAAATTCAAATTAAGGCTTCCATCTGCCCATATTCTATGGAAGATTACGTTATTCAAATTTTGATAGTTCTAGGTACCGTTGTTTTATCACAATGCGAGAAACATACATGCATTCGTGCAGATTCTTCATTATTTAATTTCTTTAAACATTATACAGGGTTATAACATTTGGCGCCGACAATTTGAAAAGTGATTTGCCGTTTATAGTTTTTAACGCAAAATGCGAAAACGAAATTAATAGTCCTTCAGGGCAAACTGCCTTTTTGGACTAATAAATATATTTTTAATTGAAATAAAGGGTTACCAAAGGCGAACTGGCTGACTGAATTGGAGTTTGTATAGTTTTTCATTCTTGTATTAGTATTATCACATAAGCGGCTCGCGACGCTATAAGAAACTTTTCCGAGAAACACATTTTTTCTAGCATTAGTATGAACGGGAGGTTTCCAGCCGAAATAGTTGCGCTCGACGATCTGATGTGCGTACGTATCAGGGATATTTTACGAGAAAGTATTTTGTCTTACAAGACGAAATATTTCGTCTGCAACTCTGTCTCGCTAAATATTCGCGTAAATTAAGTCAAGTATACTGGAAGCGGAAATTCCCGGAATTTTTTCCATTCAAGCACAGTTAAGGATAGCTACCAAATGTGATAACGTTTTAAATTAGATGCGAATTAGTTTTCCTCACAAAGTCTTCGCTTCTTTCAAAAAGATATCGTTAGTCAATTAACCGGCCAACTCACAGAAAGAGTAAGTTAAGTGATGGGCTACTCAAAGTATAGTCATTTTTTTAAATTATTTTTATAATTATTTATGAACTTACAGAAAAAATGGACTTCTTAAGAATTAAAATCTTTATTCACGAAAAATGAGGCAGCGTTTTTCGATATTATTTTTGTAATCCATGTGTGACCGAAATGAGACTTCTTCCATTCTCTTTAAACATACAAAGAGCCTTTGAAGTTGAAACTCATGCCAAATAGATGCGAAATTTTTCCATTTATTAAACATGTATGTAAACTTAAAATATGCTACGAAACATGCATGTTTTGAAAATATATGGCTAAATGAAAATTTTTTATTAATTATGTTTAAAAATCCGTATAAAGTAGAAATTTTAAAAGTCCGTATAAAGTAGAACAGGGAACACATAATGGAACGTTAGAGGATTAAAATTTCAAGGAAATGGAGAAATTGTTTCACTTTGTAGTATCAGTAGAAAGTAGTGTTAATATACTAATAGAAAAAAAAAAGTTGTTATTCATAGCTTTATTCATATTTTTAATTTTTTCCCTTCTCTTGATTACATTTTTTGCCCTTGATTATTTTTGTTGATTATTTTTGCTGCGCTTAAAGTGCAGAGTTATGGTAAAAGAATTATGAATATGTTCCTGGTTTAATATCAAAGCTTTTATCCTTAAAAAAGCTTATTAAAAATAGTAAGTTTATATCTCAATAATAATCTGTCACATTTCTGTTAATTTTATATATTGCTTGCGTATTTCCAGTTGAAAATTCAATTTCAGAAAGAACTACTTTTTTATCGTCTATAATGTTTACTTCAAAAATTAATTGAGAATGGAACAGTCGTGTAATGATCATCATGTTTTGGAAATCAATTTACAAAATTTACAAAAATGATTTTATTTAGTAAAGCACGCTACACTCGTATAAATCATGTATTGTCTTCAAATTTTCAGACTTCTTGAAGCATTGAGATTTTTTATTTTAAACACCTGTTCTGCATTATACAGTGGTATTTTCATTTGCATCCCCTTTCATTTGCATATCCCTGCATCATGTTAAGATTGTGTTCATTTGAAAGGGATCCCAATAATGGGGGATAGGAAAGGATATATTTAAAAAAAAAATTCACCGAGTTGATGTGCTTTCACCACAGTAATTTAAGAAGATTGATAGCTCAGAGGTCACTGGAACTAATAATTATAAATACGGAACTAATAGTTATACATTATAACTATAAAAATCAGCTAACTAAATGTGAATAATTTTGGTGCTCTTCAATGTTAATTGAACAGTGATTAAAGCTATGGCTCAAATACTATAATAAATACAACTGAGTTGATAAAATGTTTCAGTAAACTGCCAATACCGTGAAAGAAAACTTTGCTTTCGCCCCTGGCGTCTTGTTCGCAAGGGCCTTGCAGTAATTCAGACAAGAAATACACATGTTCATACTTGGAATAAGGTTAAAGGGACTTGGAACTCTCGTTGATTCATCAAAAAAGTGTGTCCAGAGCTTGGTTCGAGCAAATTTGAATTCAACATCGGCATTGTCCTAGAGGGGGAAAAAGACTTGAGACAACCGAGGAAAGATATTAAATGCTTTTTTTTAAGGTAATGCCTGCAATGATAAAAAGAAAATTTCTTAGAATGATATTGTAGCGAAAATTGCTCTTTTCGCTCAAGCACATCGTACCTGAGTGAGTGAGATGTTGGATTCGGAAAACGAAGTTCCCGAGTTCGAAACCCATCAAAGGCAAGTCCCCTACAAAGTGATTTTGTTTCAGTTTCCTTTATATCCCATTTATTTGAGAATTTATTTAAGATCTCCATTTTCTAGAACCTTCCAAATCTGGAATACTGCAGCTCGTCCATCAAGTGCATATAAGTGGCTACTTATTCATTTCGAATAATAAAGTCTTGACTTGAGCACTTTTCTTTTCATCTGTGTCGATACGATCACATCATCTACGTGACAGTATGTCAAAAATCCCGTCCCTGTGTAAACATCCAATGATCTATCTATAGCTACCTCGTATACATAAAATAAATGCAAGAAATCGAAATTTCCCTAGGGCAGTTAACTGGATTTCTACGATAAATAAACATAAGCTATTTTATTTACTTGTGTTGAAAATAAATATCAAAATTTTAAATGTTTGTTTATGTAGTAGTTGTGTAATATTTATACAGTGCCAAAGTAATGTTTGTAAAGCAAGGCTTTTACGCAGGTGCACCCTCATGATGGAACGTATGTTTTAATATCAGCTTGCTTATTCATACGATGGAGGAAATCTAAATTATGTGTAAAGATCAACAAAACATTATGCTAGCCTGCGTATCTCCCTTATTTTAATTGAATAATAAAATTACGCTTTATCACTTCAGGTATTAGTTCTACAGACGATTACATTTTTTTCAAAGTCAGGAAACATGAAACATCGACCGTTCCCTCGCCGTGATTATAATCATGGCACTTCTAATGCTAGCTAGACAGATTAATCACCTACACCATTAGAGACGTATGGGGAGAAACGACGATTCTTTATAAGTTGTGCCATATGAAATTATGTCCATAATATATGTGGTATTTGTCGCCATTTCCGAAGCATGTATACTGTTTTTGATTAACAACATCATGGAAATGATGCTTTGATATAACAATTAAGTGTGCTTCGCCTTTTTTCATAAGAATTTGAAGGCAGGCTCGTACATGATTTATATTTATCCTAATTTTGAAATTAAATTAATCAAGTAAATTTTATAAGCAACATCTTCATTCAGTTCGAAAAAGATAAAATTAAGAAAATGTATATGTTTAATGCATAAATAAATAATTTAAAAATGTATTAATACAGAACCAGCCTCGTTTCTTTTCAACCAAATGGTTGCAATCGCAGTACTAAGTAAAATTATCTTGAAATAGCCTTCAATAACGTTTCATTAGTTTATTTTTGAAAGGAATAAAACTTCAGTATAGTTTCAACGCGACTTGCTGTTTATTAGTTACCAAAGCAACACTTACGACAACTTTTTGGAATGTGTTGGATAGGATAGCTATGAGGATGTTCACCAAGGCAATCACCATCAAGAGTTCGTAAGTGGCGAAGAGCGCCCTTCCCACAGCCTGAGTGAATCCATGATGATTTATGACAGGATTCTTTTTGTCTGAGGACAAATTTTCGACTACGACATCAGCCGACTCCACTGGAGACATGCAAAACATAGCCCAGAAGAAAGTGGAGAAAGAATTTGTAAACCTATGGAAGCATGCATGTGTTAGAAATTTAATTATAAAAATATATATTCATATTACGAATTCTTTTTCAAGGAAAAGAAAAATGTTAAATTTTTAGCCAATTTAATGCAGTTTAACGGAACTTATCGGTTTTTACTTCATTACGATTGAGGTCGCTTTTTGGGTTATGCAATTTTTCTTAACCTGATGGCTCACTTGCCTTCTTACATGAGCATGTATAAACCCTTTTACTCTTATTAAACAGCTCTTACAACGATTTTCTTCTTCTAAATTGTTGTAAGGTATATTTCATGTTAATTAAACCTTTTCTTATGATTTGGAACTATACTGTTACTCTTCCTTTTCATTAGCTCTCACTAGGATGTAAACGAGTTTGGAGTATTTAAGGCAGAATTACTGAAAATTTAGACAGCGAGCACTTAGCAGCGACGTTGACTACATTGTGACTCTCTCGCTCTGCTACTTAATTATTATTACTTAGAAAATTTGCCAGCCGAAATCAATAGCACACTTAATAATTTGAGCCGACACTTGTTAAACTATTTTGCATTATAGTCTCCAGCATCTAATCAATTTAAATTTTAAGTTCAGCTTTTTTAACTAATATTTCTTAAGCTGCGAAGATTAAAATTGTAAGCGCAAGTCGTTCACTTGTTCCGTTTAAAGTTTTAATTAAAAAAGTTTGTTTAAAACCACCTTCCATTTCAGTACTTAATTTCACAGACGGAGCGAAAACTCTCCTTACAAGTATGTTATTTCCGAATAGGTACTTCGAGATTACTTTTTTACCCCATACCATGGCAACTTCAGCCGCGGAAAAATGCTCGAATCCTCTAATTTCCTGATATCTCCTAATTTTCTCTGTCCAGTGATGACGACACATGTTACGATCGTAAATGAGAAGTGGATCACTATGGCCTTGAAATTTTAATTTTAAAGTTACAGACTTTAGTGAGGTAGAAGAACTCAGGCTAATTACAGAGGGAAACCGTACATTGTTTCTACGTATAACGTAAAACTTTCTAGTTGTCATTTTAATAGATAAAAAGCAACAAGAATAACATACGGAAAGAAGTATCAGAGGAATGAATGGCAAAAACCTAATTAATATTGAAAATTTAGTATATAATATTAGAAATATAAATTGCTATGCGATTTGCTTCAGCTTCTGTAGGAAATATTGCATACATTTCAATGTAATTACATACATCGTATTGAAAACACTGTTTGTAACATCGTAAATCTCTATGTAACAGTAAAGTGACAATTCTGATAAATATTTTTTCGTTGAGTTCAGAGGTACTAATGGCCCTTTCCTCCTACGTCTGGTAGTTCTATGTTATATGTATGAGCAAGTATATCCTGTATGGGGAGGGATCACGAAACCATATTATATGCCAGAGCTTCTACCTCGGTATAGATAAGGAAGATATTCGATACCTCTAGAGTAGATATTAAATCTGCGCGATTAAAGGCAAAAAGTATACATAATTTTAGAAGTTATGAATCGGGCTTCCGATTCTCTAGTGAATCGAAGAAGCTAACCCCGAAATTCGCTATGGTATGAATTTTATGGGGATGAGAATGGAAGAATTAAAAAGCAGAGAATAAATCCAACGTTAAAGTAGCCTATTCATTTTGAGACTTACGAAGATAAGATTAAACAAAGACGCTAAGATTTTGAGATGATAAGATCAAACGAAGATTAAATAATAAATAAAATAATATTAAATAGAGATTAAACGAAAGTAAGTTCGTTATTTCATTGTTTCATTTTACAACATAACTGAAACTTTGCGTAATAACGAGTAGTAAAGTTAACAAAATAAATCAACTAGTGACACAATGGTTACAATGGTTCAGGTAAAATATGTCAATAAACATTAATCAGCTGAGTGCGCCCACACTACACACATTTTCTTCTCTTCGCCTTTTCTTATATCAGACTTATTAAAATTTAAAATATCTACCGTAAATTTTCAAATATAAGCAGATTCGTGTGTAAGCTGAGAGTTCTGACTTTTCTGTGGAATTTCTGCCCATGTTGAAAATCCCTGTGCATGTCGAATTTAAAATTGTGCTATATGTCTCCCAAAAGGTAAAAATTTTCATTTAACTTAGCTAGATTTAATCGAGCAAAGTGAAGATGAGTACAAAGTCTCTTGTTGATGGGGGTGGGGGAATCTACGGTTTCCTCCTCGGTTTATCTATGCTTATCTATCTCTTTGCAAAAATTTAGCAATTCAACCACTACATTGCGTAAGTCTAGCTGAAATCCTGACTTAAGTAGTGGCTTTCTGTATAGCTTCAGTGTCTCTTGGCAAGTTATAATATCACTATCAATAACATTCCAACTTAAGTTATTGTAATAACATTTGAGGACTATCATATGATAATAGTCATTCTGTTATAATACCAAGTTGCATTGTTAAAAATTGACTATGATATGTCCTGAAAGAGATTTCTTCCTTACGTGCTGAAAGAAGACAGTTGGGTTACACTTTGCCCTTCTGCAGTGGTTTGTGTCATTCCGGTATAGTATGCGTACGACCTGGTCATAGGTATAGCGAAACACAGAATCATTATGAAGCAGAATAGGAGAAAATAGGCAATTTGCATGAAAATCTTTCCGAGGGATACCTGAAAATAGTTAAATTTAGGATGTCTTAAAAGTTTTAAATGCAATAAAATAACGAAGATAAAGAAATAGAATATACTATATAAAGAATTTAAGAATGATTATTAAAGTAATAGATATCAGAAAAATATACACTAAATATTAATTAACCCTCCAAAAGTTAAGGAACAGCATGTTTTTGAAGGCTCACTATTACAAAAATGCCAGTAATATTTAAATTCACAGCTCATATAGATAGGAGTGCAAAAACAATGGCTACCACTTTTATTTTATAAAAGGGAAAGGGATAAGAGCTGGAGAAAAAAGGTGTAAGGTATTTCTCCCGCCTTCCTAGCGTGCCTTCGTGGTACAGTAGTCAACACACTGAGCCGGTATTTCAGAGGTCCGTGGTTCGATTCCCGGAAGGAAATTTTTCATCTCTTCTGCCTCCAAAAATTACCTAATGTCTCTACAGTGGCGCCCGAACTAAAAGGGTTGTGGATGATGACTCTCCAACCCAGGATTTGGCGATTGGGCCCCCTAAAATCCCCAGTCGCCCTTTAAAAGGGGGAGTATGTAAGGTATTTCTCCCTCCTTCCTAGCATGCCTTCGTGGTGTTGTGGTCTCAATGTCTCTCGTAGTGTGGTTTTCCGACTATGAATCCGAGGATTCTGTGTCTAGAAGACATGTTCCAGGTAGACCTAGAAATACAACGCCTGCGGGAGACCGTTCTTTAGCTCTTTCGGCCCGAAGGAAGAGTAACATTACTGTGCCTCAGCTCATGGCAGATCATTTAATGGCAACAGGTACACGAATCTCTACTACAGTGCAAAACACCTACAGTGCAAAACGCCTGCTCAATACAGTCTGTATGCAAAACGACCAGTTTTTTGTGTCCCCTTGACCCGAAGACACAGAGGTGCCCGTTTATTTTGGGCAAGAGAACAAACACACCTTCTGGACCAGTCAACAATGGGCGTCTGTTCTCTTCACAGACGATTCCAGCCTCACATTGGAGAGTGATTCAAGTTGTCAGCTGATCTAAAGGGAAAAAAGCAAAGATGCAACTAATCCCAAATTGTGGAATGACACAGTTACGGAGTTGGTGGAATAATGGTTTGCTCTGAGATCTCTCTCGGAGATCACGCTGACCTGCATGTGTTCCACGGAGGAACTTTGATTGGTGTGAGTCCTTGATCAATATTTCCGCCCATATGCCGCTGCTATTGGGCCTGGATTTCTTCTGATAGAAAACAATGGGCCACCGCATCGAGCTCGGGTTGCTGAAAAATATCTTGAGGGTCACGGTATGGAGCGGATGTAATGGCCAGCTCAATCCCCAGACCTGAATCCGATAGATCATCTTTGGGACTACCTTGGAAGACAGGCTATTAAGTACTCCTGTAAGTACTCATCTAAGATCGTTAGATGAGCTTGAACAAGGATTACTCAGTGTCTGGTCGTTGCTTCCCATTTCACTGACCGACAACTTAATTGACAGCATGGAACGTCGTTACCGCCAATGTATTGGTGCTAGGAGTGGACACATTCCTTATTAAAACCCATGTTTGTGTTGAACTTTAGAAACATTCTATGTCACATTCATTAAAGAACTGTTTAATGGAATATGTCCTCTTAATTTCTTGTTTCTACAGTGTTTCATTCTCAAATTAGACACACACAAAAAAAATGCTGTTCCTTAACTTTTGGAGAGCAGAGTATTACCTTAAAAAAGTTCCTTTTGAGGTCTATACTAACTTTAATTGCTGTATGCACTTTTAAAATTAATCTGATTTTCTTAAGGAAGAGTGTTCTCTATTAATTTCTCTTCTTCAAAATAAATCTACTCCTTGAAAGCAGAAATCGCGCTAGATCGTCTTTCGAAGTGCATGCAGCATATATTACAATCGATGCCAATTTGAGGTTGACTTTTGCATAAATTCAACGTAGCAGAAGTCTAGACTCTTTTTTTCTCCCTTTGAGGACGTAATTTGAAACAGAGAATGTTTTATTAAATTTCTTATTTTTCATTTATATTATGAATTGCTTTCACTAAATTTAGTAATATATTGAAATATCTTTCAAAAATCTAAATCAGGGTTTCTTAAACTTATGGGTACCAACCCCCTTGGGGGTCGCGGGACCTGCAGAAGGGGTTTGCCAAAACTTTTAGCAGTTTTGATATTTCTTTAACTTACTATAATAATTTTACAAATACCAAATATTTTTGCACAATGTATCTGAAAATAGAGATAAAGGCAAGACAATACAGAGAAAGAAAAATACGAAAACGTTTCGACGTATTTCTTTTTATAATATAAACGTTCATTTTACTTGCATTGCACGTGACGCTGTCATTTCGTCTGTTACTTATTTAAAATTTACACATTGTTCTATGTCCTAAAATTAAAAATTAATGACCTCAAATTGCTATAGTATATTACAGTACAAGTGAAAAAATTGACGGTTGCACTCACGCGTGTGTCGGATTTGCGCAATACTTATGGGGATCCCACAGAATTTTTGTAAATATTGTGAGGTCCTGGGGGTCGCGAAAAAATCTGAGTGATAAAAAGGGGTAGCGATTCAAAAAAGTTTAAGAAACCCTGATCTAAATTAAGGCAGAATATTTCGCAATTTTACATCACAAATATGCTCAGACTGTTAAGTCCAAGATGTATGCTTTTCTTCTCGATTAACGCAGAATATAAAATACTATAATAATCGTATGATATATGTCATCATTCGTTATAAATATTTAGATAAAAAATTTGCATATCCAAGATTGAAAACCGAGATTGTGCGAAAATTAAATCGGCTGTATAATCTCGCCAAAAAATGTGTTTTCGACTCAGTTTGCTAGATAACATTATGTCCCACTTTAATGAGATTTTTGATGAGTCAAGAAGACCTTACCAAAGCCATCCCATTGACAAAAAGAGCTTCTGTTCAGCTGTATTAATAAGAAGGCATGAGATGCCTAGCGTAAAAGTATCTTCAAATATTTCCACAGCTTTTAGTTAGAAACATATCATGCTAAAACATGTATCGGAAACTGGAGGTGCTCACCTGTGCTAGAAAAACATGGAGTTTTCTTTCTTTCAGTTCTAAATGTTGATCTCTTTTGGCGTTTTGTAAACAACATCCCAAGGAGTAAAAATAGTCGTGCTTCTGTTTTTTTTTATTGATGTGTCAAGATTCCACATGCAAAGTGATAGCTGTTGTCAGTTTACGGGGAAAAACAGAAACGCAAAATCGGGATAAAATTAAAGGGAACAAGATTCCTCTGAAAGAAGCGGTTTATTAGTGTGGTTTATTTATAATTCGAGTTTCAAATGGCGGCAAGCTCTTTGCACAAGCTCTTGAAAGGTAATTCAAATGCTACACTCTATGAGGAACAGATTCTACATTCTTTTTGTTAGATAGATCTGCAGAATTGTTTGTTCTTAGTTCCTATCAACGGACAAAAACGCTTATCCATATCGGATTGTGTTTGCCAAAAGTTTCCTTCGTCCTCATAGAATGAATTATTCTGCCAGATCTGCAGACGTAAATCTCCATAAAAAAATAGACGTGTCTTAGCTGAAAAATCCGTTCGATGGCAATTCTTTACCACAGTCCTTTACGAATTATGACGAGTAGTTCTGGAAGAAACAGATTCAGTGGAAGAAGATATTGTAAGTGGCCTAGACATTAGATTTTTCGGAGGAACAAATGTGAAAAATCCACTGTGTTCTCGCCGGGATTCGTATAATGAATCTTATAACTGTTAGTTTGACGTGTTACCGATTACACTACAGCAGCATGCATAGAAGAATGCCACAGTTCTTTATATTCCTCTTGAATTAAAGAGTGGCAGCACAAGAATTTTTATGAATTATTATCCACAGCATTTTATTTCGGGAGATGATACAGATTTATTTAGAATTTTTAAAGCATGAACCATATTAACCCTCTAAGCGGCAAGACCGTATATATACGACCTAGATTATATTTTGTGTCATCTGTAAGAACGTATATATACGTACATATTAAAATATGTCAAAGAAATAAAGGCAATATATCAAAAGTACACAAATCCAGGTATGAAATATCAGGAGAGCTTCTACAGTAAAATCAAAAAAATAATTTGTTCTCCTAGTAGTTTTGGGAAATTTGTGATTTCTTAGCGAAAGCCTGGCCGCTCAGAGGGTTTTAACATGAAAATAATGATGAAAACGAAAAGATTAGCAATAAAACGACTACTAACTGCCTTATATAAGGATTATCGCATTCTTCTGCACTTGCTCTCGTGGTATAAGTGGTTGGCACATACAGCTAGGAAGTGGAAGATCTGTGATTCAAATTCCGGCAATGGCACCGGTGATTTAACCCTAAGATCATCTTATTTAATAAACAAAAATTTCCCCATTATTCTTAATTTCATATTTCCTCAGTATGTGTCATATTTTGTGTCCTGTTTATACAAACTAGATTCATTTTTAATAAATTTGTTCAATTCAACTTCCTTAAATTATTGCACATCTAGATATACTTTCAGCTTAGAACTTTTATGCACCTTGTTTCTTTAAATTGGTCTTTCGAGCTTTGATTTTGGAGATGTGCATAATTACTCGTATAAACGTTTTACAATTGTTGATAAAAAAGGGCTATATATGAAATTCAAAATGGGTTTAGACATTTTTTAATATTTAAATAACATTTGCTGCTTTGCTGGTATATTTTATTTGTTTAATTTCCTTATGAAATTATAATGAATGCTTTGAAACATCCATACCTTCTCCGCGATTCCAACGCGTGCCCATCGATACGGCACTCAGCGTCACTAACCACTATACTGTCTGGGCCGCGGACATACTACCAGCATTTCACTCGAAGCTACAATACGCGTTCGTCGGGCAACCTAATCTAAATCAAGACTAACTTATCGACACTAACTAGAGCCAGTTACTTTAAAGTAGGACCTTCATGGTTATTTTCCGCCGTCCAATTTGACTCGTAAACATAGGAACAGCAGCTGCGGAAAAAAGATCGAATCGCTTAATTTTTGTCCCCCATTTTATTTCCTTTTCGCGTGTTTCGCTTCATGAAAAAGCTTTTGAATAAAGACTACCTTGAGCTACCGTCTCAAATGAGGTGGAGAAGATAAGTACTAGGCAGTAAAGCCTTGAAATGTCTGTTTTAAAGTAACATGGTATAATGTCCGTCAGTACAATCATAGTGAGCAGCGGCTGTTTGGATGCAAGGAAGTGCGGCAGCTATTTGTTACACAGCCAAATGTCTGTCTACTACTAGTCACGCGGTTACGGTTCTTCCTCTTAATATTTAAACTGTAACGCTTTCCCATTAAGCTTAATCTCTAGACTGAGTGAGTAACTAAAAAAAAAAAAAAAAAAAAAAAAAAAAACGAGGCAAACAGGAAGATGCAAAATAACAATTAACTCCTATTTAAACTCAAAAGAAATGCCATATGATCAGTATGATTGAAACTGATCTTTTAACTCCTCTAGTATAGTGATAATAGGAATTTTTAAATAAGAAGCTAGAGGTTAGTTTTAATAACCTGTATACTGAAAGGATTAACAGTGATATATTGAAAATGTAATGGTTAAGTAGTCTTTCGAAATGCATGGGCTTTCGAAGTCTTCCAGTCAAAGCAATATTAATATCCATACCAATACCAATAATCTATGTACTTCCTTCCTGTTCTAGAAATATGTTCATGCATTCTCCCCGGAAAAATGATTACTACATTGTGGATTAAATAGAAACTGAGAGCAAAGGTTTACCTGCAATGGGCCTAGTCTGGAGCTCTGTAAGCAATAGTATGCCAGTTTGCCGAAGGTGAGTATAGTTGCTATTGCAAAGAATCCTTCGTGGAGGAGCGTGGAATCCAAGCTTGACCAAAATTTTCTCTCCAGAGGCTTTTGTTTTTTAATTCGATCTGCTTTAGCATCAAAAAATGATTTACTCCACAGCATAAATGTGAGTACGAAAAGAAATTCCATTATCATGTCATACCTGCAATAAAAATTATAATACACAGTTAATATTACAAAAAATAAAAAAATAAATATTGTCTCACAATCGTTTGCGACTTGTTACCTTTTATGTAGTAGCTTCAGAGTAAGTAGTCAATCCTTTGTTTACCCTGATATGAAGTACTACTGAGAACAAACTGAGTAGTTTTTATTTTAACAGAGAAAATGGAAAAGGCACCACAAAGTATCAAATTTGATTCTTTTATCGGCAGAAATAATGGATATACTTTAGTTAGAAAAGTGTAGTAAATTTCTGGGGCAAAAGGTTATAAGAAAGGTTGAGAAAATTATCCAAACATTTTGCAATAAATAATGAGAAGCAATTCTTATCCGTCATATAGATAAAAATGAAATCTTCTTTTCAAGTTGACATCTAATTTTAGAAATGAAAGGACACTTTCTGTTAAATTGCTACGCTTAAAAAAAGTTATATAGATACAAAACTAGTTAAATAATGCTGCGAATTTTACAATTAATAAAACTTTTCTTAACTGGAAACACTGAAAAATTTTAACATACTCACTAAAAATACATTAATTAGCACTGGTTGAGTAAAATGGTTAAGATTATATATGAAGATTTAAACTCTGAAGAAGTTATATGCGGGTAAAATATTACTTCTGGTTTAGAAGTTTTAGCCAAAATCTATAGAATTTTCCCATTGATGTAAAAATCTTAAATATTAAAACTGAAAAATTTTGGATTTAATTTTAATAAGGTTTTTCATAAAAAACTACTATGGGCTTTAAGAAAATACCACTTCCGTATTCTCCAGTTTTATCCAAAATGTAGTCAACTTTTTATATGAATGCAAAAGGCTTAAATACGGAAAACAGAGTATTTTGGAAGTTTTATGTAAGACTTATGAAGATCAAAAAAGTTGTCACACAGGCACTTAAACAGACATCATTGTAGAAATAGTAAAAACGTGTTGTGAGGACCTTAATTCAAAACAGAAAAGAAACAAAGTATACAAAGTAAAGCACAAAAATTACAAAAGCAATAACCTTGTGTTTGGCATAGATTTAGTCAATTGTAAAAATAATTTGAGTGTTTTCAAGTTTTTCCTTTAAGAGAAACAAGCAGAAGGTTATGCATCTTTAGCTTTAATCCCAGTGTGGTATCCATATGAATATCTTGTGGGCTTAATCTTGAAACAGTGCCATAAACAACCAACGTTTACAAATGTAAACGAGAAGTAATAGGCATTTTGAAAATACCAAGTAACCTTGTAATACTGTATGCTTTGAGCGGGTAACTCTACCATCTTTAAAACTGAATTAACGTTTGTCTACTATTCATCTTCTTAAGGTGAAAATGCAGAAAAGTAGCTATTTAAATAAAAAAGCAATCTTTTTCTTGGCTTACATATAGCAGCGAGTTTATATATGAAGATTAATTTAACTCTTGTTAGAAGCATTCGTTTTCGCCCTCGCCCCTCAACTTCACATTGGAATGAAAGAAGACACGCTAAGAGCAAAAATCATAGTTTAGCCTCGGAATGAGAACTATCATTCGGTTCTTAAGCAGCAGAGCGGTAAGTGGATTCACGGTCTGGAAGTAACTGGATTTTGGATTACGGCAAAGTACGCGAGCGTTATACAGAGGGAAGGGATGCCTTTGTGAAGGACTTTTAAAGAATCTGGCTTGTATTTAAGTGATACTTATGGAAAAACACAAACATTCCCATGCAGTTGCTCCGTTCGCTGGTATTTGAAACCGGCTTATATTGGCACTATGCAGCAATTTTACCCCTTAGCGGCTGGTGGACCTGGTTACAGGAGAAATAACTTGTATGTTTTCTGCTTGAAAGAGTATCATTGCAGCATTCTCCTTAGGATGTCGTCAGAACATTCAAGAACGGAGCTATAATGGTTCGACTGGCATTTTGTTGAAACGAAGCGAACGTTTTTTAATGAAATTTCAACGATATATTGAGGGTCATGTGTAAGAGTGCTAGCCTATTGACGGCTGGATGGTATTACAGTATTTTATCTGCAACCTATGTTTCTGAGATCATAAAAGGTTATCAGGAAAAGAGGACGAGGGAAAAAGTGCATCAAAATGTTTTCTTACCAATGCCAAGGAACGCTGAAAAATCTTTTCGCTCCTTCTACCCAGAATTGTCGAAAAGTAGACCATATGTGACCAAGAACAAAAATTACTATTATAGCTTCAAGACCTACAAATTTATAAAGGGTTAGGTTTAGAAAATATAACAGACTTGTCTTTAGATCAGTTAAACTTAAATTTTATATAAAAGAAATAGAAAAAAGAGGGTTCTGAATCCTTAATATTGATAAATATAAGCTAATTTTATCTTTAGTTTTGCCTTTTAGGTTTCCAGTTTACTTTTTTATTTATTATTTTTTGTGGTAACCCATATTTCGAAAATGTTTCATATAAAATGAATAATTTGTAACGCACTGCGTAATTTGTGGCAGCATGCAAATGATATTGTGTTTGTTAGGCTTGAACTTTGGATTTGAAAATGTTCCTATTTTCATCTCACTGTAAGCCTTATTGCATGAAAACTTTTGTTACCATCTACGTGTTTTATGATAAAATATTTTGTAAGACATATTTGGGACCTATTTGACTTTTAGCTTTGGATAAAGTTTTAAAACTGAATTTTTAAACCATATTCAAATATACTTAAAATGCATTTCGGACTTCTCACGCATAAAAATTGAATACTCGTGGGTTTCTTTGAAAAAAGGTTCAGAAAATTAAACTAAGGCAAAGCAGAGAGTATCAAATACAGTTATAATACGATGAATGTTTTTTCGCTGTTCGTTAAAAATATTTAGCATCATTCGATTGCAATCATATTAAAAGTTTCAATGTTTAGCATAAAAACTATATTTTAAGTTATTTTTATTTTCCCTGTTTCTTTGTTCTTTAAATTATTGGTATTCAACGCGATTGTCAAGCATTTTCAAATTGTAAATATAATATTTCTTGTACTCGCAATATACATTGGTGTGCAAAAATTAAGGACGAGACGGTTTTTTCAATAACCAAAGCTTTCAGAAAACACCTTATACCGTAAGATCCCATACGTAAGGACTGATTAATTACGCAACACTTACAAAAGAGAAATCAGAGGGATAAAAGAAGCTTTTTGAAACGTAGCCTGTGCGCATGCGCTGAAGGCCGAACATCCCTGTGATGGTGTCCAGCAAGAACAATCCGGTCTTTTTAGGGATATGACCTCCCCTGCTGTAGGCAGTTTTCACAGCGTCTGCCCATGCTTAGATGCGGGTCATTAATTGTTAGGCCTTGCTGCGCATTCGCTTCCCAGCGCCAATCGAGTTCCGATCGTTAGGGTGGAAGGTCGAGCTGCCAGCGTCTGCCTAGCAAATCCATACATATCGATGGGATTGAGATCCGGAGATGTGCCGGTATCCATACGTTCAATATCCTCACTCGCTAAGACTGTTCGGCAGCTACTGTGCGATGGGATGGTGCATTGTCGTCCATGAAAAGGAACTGCAGACCCATCTCCTCAAAAAGAGCAATATGAAAGAAGAATTCGTTACAGTAGCGGTCCGTGCTGAACCTGCGTCGAGATTGAAGTCTGTACGACTACCAGCATGAGCCTCCCAAACGACACACCGCCACCTCCATACTTTCCTTTCAATGTCGAGGAATGATTGCGGCTTCCCGCTCTCTCAGATGAGTATCGATGAGATCGCTACTCAGACTGAACGCTCTCATCTATAAGAGTATCGTCCCCATCATTTCTCTCCAATTCCGTGTTCCGGCACCAAGAGAACGCCTTCTCCGATGGCAGGCGTTAAGGTAACACCGACAGGGCGTCGTGCAAACAACCACCACCGTGCAGTCTTCTGGCACGGTAAAACGCGATATCGGTCGTCCAGTCGCCGTCGTGTGTCTAGCGATTCCCCGCGTCTGCCGCCTGTTCTTCTGCTGTAAGCAATACCGGTCATCTTGGGTGGGTTCTCGTGGACTACACTACAACCCCTGTTCCTGTAGTTTGAAATTGTCTCAAAGCGTGAAAAGAGCTGTGAGCAATTCGACTCTGCGCCACACTTGTCACATGCGGCCTTCTCAACTCCCAATGATTTGACCAGGTAAAAGCATCCGATTCGTCTAACAGATTGATTTTCGCCGTTTCTCGCTGAGCAGAACTCGGTGTGATTTTAATGCTATACGGCGTGCAATCTCTTTGCCAGAAATATGTCTACACCGACAACGTTTTATCTTCGACACTCTCCCATACTCTATCTGCATCTGCGATTGCTACCGTACATACCTTACTTAATTCCGATGGTCTTTCTGTCCGCTCTGCCTCTTCGTTCAGCTGATATGCTAATTTTTCGACTTCGTCCTTAATTTTTGCACACCAGTGTATAACTAATATTATTTGGAACACTCCTCTAGGAAAATTAAACTTTATTTTAAAGTAATTCAGTTATTTGATCCATATTAAAAAATAAATAATGATTATAATTCCACATTAAAATTTTAAAGTTTATGCAACAGTAAAAAAATAAGCTAATTTTAGGAAAAATCCGGGTAAACAAAACCGGTTACCGGTTTAAACAAAAATTGTTTTTAAAATTTTGAGCGAATAAGCGTTCCTCTTGAAAAGATGGTATAATTATACCAAAATCTATCATACGAGTATTATGATTTGGAAACAACTTTGGAAGAAAATTTAAAAAATGGTGGATTGTAAACTGAACTTTCAGCTATATAATTTATTGATTTTTTAATAAAGTTGTTTTCTTTTGACGGTAAAAGAATAGACTGCTTAGTTATTATGAGCTATTTTGTTAAAGCACAGTAGTGCCACTTGCTCAAGGAAGAGCTACTTTTGTAGACTTTCTTGTTTAACAAACATTGGAACTCCTTGTTAAAACTCATGTTTCCGTATTTACGTAACAAATAAGGAAACCATAAATATCTCATGCATTTAGTTCATTCTGTAGTTCAGATATGCTTGTTCACTTTTGCTGTTAATTGGATTATGACAAAACACACTACAGCTATCCGTCTAAGAGGTGAAATGCCCTTGTAGAGAATTTTTTAGGAAAACTAATTTTTATTCATATCACACGTGGGGGAAACAACGACAAATCTCGGCCAATCAGCCCGTTCCATGACATGCGAACTGACATCTTTATTCAGAATTTAAACTGCTCACCTATTAGTAAACTATTTTCACAGTATATTTTGGCTAATACACTTGTGGGCAAAATTAAGAGAATTTGCGTATTATGCCTTGTGAAAGGGGTGAAAGGCTCGAAGGGTTTTCGGCGATTTGTGTGCTCGTACTACTTTATGACATTCGCCGTGTTTCTTGCAAGAATTGAGTGAATTTTGTAAAGTATCAGGTAAAACGAGTAACTACGAACGTATGAACGATGGAATGAGATGGAGAATTATCAGTAGCTTTGAAGGCAGGTCAGTCACAAGCGCAGGTGGCTACAGAGCTCAATGTAACGCCCAGCTTCATTTGCAATTTGTGGAAACAGTTTCAGGACACTGGATACATAACAAGAAGATTAGACAAGGTCGGCCAGGATCCACAACAAAGAATAAGGATCATTGTTTGGCACTTTCTGCGTGGGGAAACAGGAATACTACAGCTTCACAACTCTCACGTGAGCTCCATGTTGCCACTAAAACTGAGTTTCAGAGTCTACAATTGTCCGAATGCTTCGTGTGATAGAGCTGTATTCCAGAAGACCAGCTGTTTGCATTCCGCTCACTGCAGCACGCAGGAGAGCACGTTTAGCACGGTGCAGACAACATACCTTGAACCAGACTTTAGTGGAGCACCGTGCATTTTACAGGTGGGTTGAGGTTCAGTCATCTCAGCGTACCTGTATATGGAAAAAGGCTGGAACACGATATACCATTCCTCCCTCATCAGGAAAAAGGATGATTACGGTGGCGGAGGTGTAATGGTTTGGCAGGCATTATGTTGGACGGCCACATACCTTTGCATGTGTTATCAAAGTTCCCTGACTATTATGACGTATAGAGAGAAGATATTAGTGCTCTAAGCTCAACTTTTCAGGGTTGAAGATGGTCCTGGGTTCCTGTCAGTGGATGACAACGCTCGTCCACATAGAGCCCGACTGGTCGAATATTACCTGGAAAGTGAAGATATTCGCTGCATGGATAGACCAGCCAGATGTCCTGATTTTGTAGATCATGTCTGGCAATCTCTTGGGAGGGCGATTTCGTCTCTCCATCCCCCTCCGGGAACCATCTCGGCGTTGAAAATTGCCTTGCTGCAGGAGGAAGATCGACAGCCACAGGGGCTTTTGAACTGCCTTTACACTGACCTATCTGGGCTGTTAGACGAAAGACTAATATTAAGACTAATTTTTAGTTCGATATCACAACATGAATTTTGGAATTTCGTGCACTATGAGCTTTACTGTTAATCCTGTGTACACACAATGACTTTGGAATGGTACATTTCTTCTTCTGTTATAAATGTGTATGCACACCAAATTTTGTTAAAACCTATGCATTAGCTTTTCAGAAATGTGATATAATGTGCAAATTCTCTTAAGTTAACTCACGAATGTAAACTGACAAAAACACAAGCTTTAATAAACGTCATTCTTTATTTAAAATAATTAACGTCATTCTTTATTTAAAAGAGTACTGACGATTTCGATAATAACACCTTAAATTGATTGATTTTGCTATATCATCGTAGTCTGTAATTTATATTCAACTATTTGTTAGAATTCGAAATTTATTTCATGTAAAGTTTTCCTTATACAGAATGGAACAGTACTGATATTCACAACCGTTAGAGGAGATAGAGCATGGTAAAAGAAATAATTTTTACTTGATAGAATCTGAAATGTTAGCACGATAGCAGAATAAATACGAAAAACTTGTTAAACGAGAAGTCGATTTAATCTCGTATATTTATTTACAAGAAACAGAGTTTGATATTGCATCAGGATTATTCAAATGGACGACCTGCAACTGTAATACATGCATCACAATGGCAGCCAATCTCATTTACAAGATGCAAACCGATTCTTTTGAAGACCTTGTTCCCAGAATTAGTGTCGCTGCTGTAAAAATACGTGACATGCTGGGTATCTTCCAGTTGGTGATCATTTATTTGAATAATTCTTGTAAAAATAAAAAAAATATTCCTTGTAATTATCCGGTATTAATTTTTATGTTAATTAACCCATTTTCTTATACTATGGAACTGTACTGTCACTTCTCTTCGTTAATTGTCAACGGAAAGCAAATGAGATACGAGTGTTTAAAACAGAGTTATTGAAAGTTTAGACAAAGAGCTTTTAGCAGCGACGTTCACTTTGGTTTTGTTCTGTCGCCCAGCTGTGCTAATTATTTATCCAGTGTTAGCCATTTTGCTAGCCGAAGTCAATCGAGCATTTAGTAGTTTGAAACAACGCTTATTAGGATGTTTGCATTGCAACTTCCAACATCTATTAAATTTAAATTTTAAGTCCATTTCTCTGTTAACTGATATCTTGCAAGTTGCAAAAATTTTAATTTTAATCACAAGTTGTGCATTTGTTTAGCTTAAACAAAAAGATTGTTTACGCCATCTTAGGTCTCAGTTGTTATTTACGTCGATAACTTGCCTTGTTCTCTTCATAGGAATTAATAATTCAAATTAATTACATAGCGAAAACCTATATAGTAACTAAAACCACTTTTCATTTTTCGTGTTACCGTTTTTCCGCATTCACATTTAACCACATGCTGTATTACTTTTGCCATTTTCAGTCACCACTTAAAGACGCGACCTTTAGTCTTCTGCACCCTGTATATAACCGAAACTGAAAACTAAAGCATACCAAGAATGAATATATTTCCGATTCAAAAGTCTACTGGGGCAATAGTTAGAATAGTAGATATCATACTTTATCATACTTTATCATACTTTAGAGTGTTTAATAAGCACACAATCTTACTGTGGCAATAGTTAGAATAGTAGATATACTTTGGAGTATTTAATAAGCAACATGCAAAAATCTACGAATCAAGAGACGACATACAAAATGAGCACTAAGTCATATATGCCATTTAAGGATGAAAAAAATATTAGCAATTCCATTTATTTAGCAATATTTTAATTCTTTAATATTTTTTCTTTTCAGGCGGCTATCATACAGAAATTTATTCTTACTTTTGGAGGTGCACATCATATACCTAAATATCGGTAGTTGAGAAAGTCGCGTTATAGGCATTATAGGTTCTTAACTAGATATTTATAATTTTGTGCAAGGTGATTTGGGTTATTATTATGAATATTGTTTTACTACTAGCCTATACTTGGTTTGCTCGAGGTTTTGCCTAAACTTACACATGACCTTGAGTTTGTAAAACTAATAAGAAAATTTATGTTCAGAATGCACTACTGTGTTTTTTTAACTTAGATTTAATTTCTATTGCAAAAAATAATAGTTCGTGTAAGTATGACATAACGGAAATACAAATTTTACTTTTGACTGCGGAGTATTGATATCACCTAAAATTTTGATTTCACTATAGAATCGTTTGATTTATCGTCAGAAGGAAAACTGTATATTTGCACCAGACGACTATTTGATTGGCACGTAAAAGAAGTAAACTAAGCCTTACTGCAGGCGGTGATACTCTAGTACAACTTATCTCAAGACAGCTTGCATTGAATTTTTTTTTTTTTTTCAAACGTGCAGTAGGTTTTTCTTTTCCTGAATAGTTAAACATACATACTCAAATAATAAAAAAACAATTCCACGACACGCTATTTGAGAACCGTTAGCCTTTACATAAAACGGATATCTTGCCGTCAAATCGCCAACCGGATGAGACAGAAGGTTTCCAATGTTGACTTTGGATTTAGAATGCAGTAATAATCAAAAGAATCAGTTCTGAGCAAAAGCGTGAACGGATGAACGCAGCGATTTGCGTACACATTTAACCAACAAAATGGTCATGAAATCACAAATTAGAACAGCTATAATTCTTGAAATCAGCAGTAGAATGGTCGGAAATCTCTTCTGGAAACAAGTTCGAGATCATATGTGCCAATAGGAATGCTGCCGTTATCAGCACCTCTGTAACTGTCATCCAGTTGCTGTGATGTCGTAAATAACTTCACTTGAAGGAAAAACAGGGAAAACATCTATTGCAATGTTCAACAAACAGCATTCGAATATATTTGATATGATGCTCATTTAAATGCTCAGCGAAGAACAGTCAGATTTTGCTTCCATTATCATCATGCGATATAGGACTATATTATATCAAAGATTAATATAAAGAAAGAAAGATTATATCAAAGTCCCTACATTTAAATTACAAGTCACTGTCAAATTTAGTATTTTTTTATTCAGTTTGAAGGTTATTTCGCACACCAGTACTATCGTTAGGTCCGCATAATTGCCAGTGGCGTAGCTAGGGTGGGGCAAGGGGGGACATCTGTCCCGTGCGCCAGCATCAAAAGGGGCGCCCCCTTGATTGCTACGAAATTTTTTAATGAAATGTTTTCCATTCTTTGCACACAGAAAGGGGCGCAAATTCTTCAGTTGTCCCCGGACGCTGGAAACTCTAGCTACGCCCCTGATAATTGCCATTTCAGCGTTAAGAAGGAAGTAGATATTTTTAGGAATCTAGGCCTTCCTACAGACCACGCATGCTGAGCACCGTACTTAAGTTCGTGAACTATACTGGCCTGTACCTTTATCACAACTGAATTAGTTGAATATGTGGGAGTTAGCTTGGAAGACAATTACGATTTTAAATTCAGAAAGAATTCACATTTTGTAAAACAATATTTGACATCTGTATGATCATATGTCAGCAGGATTGAAGGCATATGTTGTAGAAAGGGTGAGTAAACCTGTTACAGAACAAAACTGATTTAACTCGTGATCTCATATAAGTTGCATGCAAATGGCCACATCGTTTTTATTCTGGAATTGTTTTCCTTCCCATATGATTATAAAAACCGTAGCTCTATCCATTTTCCGTGTTCTGTTTTTCAGTTTCTTGTTGGATAGATTTTCAAGACATTTAAAAATCTAAATTATCACTTTTTCTTATTATTTGATGATTTTTTAAAAAAATTTTCTATTCACATAATCTTAGAAATACTTTTATTTAAGGTACAATTTTGATCAAGCTTAAAACTTTCTAATTACTTTCAGTTAATTATTATCACATCTATGTTAAACCTTCTTACCTGTATGTGGAGGTCCTCTCTTGAAGTTCCCCGTATCCAAATGATTTAATAAGAAGACAGACATAGTAAATATCAAGAAAGACGCCAAACTTAGTAAATATCGATTAATAGGTGCCTTGAGCTTCTTAACAGGTCTTAGCTGAGGAATGAAGATGAGACAAAAGCATATGAAAGGCAACAAGAGGATCCTCACTACCACATGCAACACTTTGCGGGGGAAATGCAACCTAGGCCAAGATCGAAACTCTCCTAGCCAGTATGTGGTCAGCACTTGCTGCACCATAGAATGGGCAACAAACTGAAACAAAATTAATTCGTTGAAATCTGCAATAAAATTGGTCAGTGTTGGAAGAAATAATGCGAATTAAATTTTATAATTACAGTGGTACTTTGGTATACGTCTTTTTTAATATACGTCCAACTTGGTATATACATCCTATTTGTACGCGAAAATTTTTGTTTGATATATGATAGTTGTTTGCAATACGACTTGAATTCGATGAGACACGGCTGCACATACTGATCTCATTCACCTCTTTTGAGATAATGCTACAACTGCCCATGAGCGTCAGTATGCCTGCTGTTACTATTTAGTGAACAACCCGCTCTGAATTTTTAAGCGATTTTGTGTTTTTTTAACTAAGGTTTTTCGAAATTAAATAAGAATGATAAGAATGAGTTTTAAGATTCGTTAATAATGAGAGAAGCATCAAGCAACAAAGAAAAATATTTGAATTACCTTGGAGGCGAAAAAGATACTGCTTATAATAATAGATTTTTTTATAAGACCTGATTAATAATTTTCCTTATATTTCCTACTGAAAAAATTCGTTTCGTATGTGTCCAAAAGTCTGGAACGAATTAATGGCGTATACCAAGACAGACCACTGTACTTTTATTATAATAAGAATGCTCGAATGTTCAATTCTAATTTTAACCCGTATGGTGGAAAAATATATGAATTAATTCTAACTTTATTCGATGAGTTTAATTTTTGATTAATCGAATTTTCTTCTGCTCTGTTTAGTTTCGGCTTATCAAAGATTAACTCTGTAACTATAATGGTGCTTGGGTTATTGCGCATATTTTAAATGCATCGCTAAGGCTATTTTAAATGCATACCGAGGGAAGCCGCAACATAACAATACAGGAGCGCCTTTTGAACGCATCGGCCTTTGACATCCTGGAATTTCTGCTATGAGCATACATCGTCATTGATAATGATTACTTTGCTAAATGGCCTGAAGCGTATCCTGTCTCTGATTAAGAGGCTGTCACGGTTGCAGAGGTAATGATACAGCATTGGATTTCCAGGTTTGGAGTGCATTTACAATTACATTCCGATAAAGGAAGAAATTTCATCTCGGCTGTAATTAAAGAACTGTATAAACTATTCGGCATAGACAAAACCAAGCGACGCCTTTATATCCGCAGCGACACCTTTATATGGTAAGTTTAATCGAACCATCTTTAATAACCTTTCACCTTTTCTGAAACCAACAGGACTGCGACCAAAACTTAACTCTGTGCTCACGCCTATCGCAGTGCTGTTCCCGAGACCACTGGCAATTCTCCATCCCAGATGCTTTTCCGTCGTGACCTTTCGTCTGCCTTGTGATCTGTTGTTTGGCCGCCCTCCGGATACTGCTTTATCGCCTGAGTACATTTAAGATTTTCAAGCAAGATTTCAAAGAACACAGTTTTGCACAAGAGCGAGTCAGCTTAGCGACGGAGAAGATGAAGACCCGATACGACACGAGAGCTACAGGACATCGATTGAACAAAGGTGAGAAGGTATGGAAACGGAATAATTGATACTGCTCGTTCTGTATTAATGAAATTCCAATAGCATTATATACAACTTTTTTGTAACTCAAAAAAGTGAGAGAATATCTGGGTTCTATTATAATACATAGAATAATACATAAAGAAGGGACTTTTAACTCAGTAGAAGCATTCAGTTCAGTCGGAAAATCGAGAAATTCCGAATTCGATCTGTAACTGAAGTTTCTCAAAATTGTCAAAATTAAAGTGAACTTTACGGCTAGAATTCCCTTTAATTTCCTTCATTCGATTATAAATAAAATTCACATTTGCTATTATTTCATGTCATAAATGAACTGAACTAATAAAAGTTAAACGAATAAGTACTAAAAGAATTATTTAGTTTAGATAAGAAATGTGTAATTCACAAGTGCACGAAGAAACGTTTTGATGAAAATTCAGGCAATGTGAAAGTTTTAATTTTGTTTTCCCCTTATTTAATATTAGACATATGTGCTTTCATATTAGAAAAATGAGTCTTACTTTGGTGTTGATTCTATAGAATGCAAAATTGTATTATGCCGTTCCGCTGCCTTTCGCCATAGGTCTTCTTCTTTAAACATTATATATATCTATATATATCTATATCTTATGTTTTTTTTAATATACCTACCATGCATAGAACTTTCTGTAAAATTAAAATATTGAAATGCTGCCTGATTTTAAAGTTGAAATTGTATACTTCTGTTGAAAAATACACTTTATTTCTACACACAGTTGCAGTAAAATTTAAAGAATTCTTAACACCATAAAAGAAGAAAGAATTCTTATTCTTATTATTCTTTAATGCATAAGGTACTGGAATCAAGATATAACTTAAAATGATTTGCAATATGTTTATTCCTAATTTCAACAAATCTTTTTCGAAAGAAATATTAGAAAAATAAGAGAGTATCATAATGCAATAACTGCTTACTTCTTTCTGATTGTAATCCAACGCCACTTGCAATCTTGGAAATTCTACTTTCATATGTGTCCCGGTATATCCCCATGGTAACTTCAGTAGCATTTCTATTTCAGTCGTGTTGCGACATTCCGACAATAAGCTAACTGTAAAACCTCGAACTTGTTCACCCAATTCTGTATATTCAGCCTATAAGAAAGACGCCAAAGCAAATGAATGAATATACTAATTGTACCAATAAAATTAAATAAAGAGCTACCGCTTTTATTATGCGATTTCATCAGCATAACTTCACGCAGAACTACCGTCATTCATTTTTATAGCAGTTTTGTGCTACGTTAATTCTCAAATGCAGTGGAGATTTTACGAGAAAGAAAACCAATTACAAGAAGTCTTCCGCAATTCAAATTTCATTAATATTTGACACATTTACAACACTTACTCCATAACATCAGGAGAAAAATAAATTCTTAACAGATTTAAGGAATGAAGTCTTTGATATATCTAGCTACTGGTAAAAAGTATCTAAAACCTATAAGATTATTGGTTTGTACATACCTATGTTTGTACATACCTATAAAACGTTTTCACTTGTTTATCAGTTTCAAGTTCTAAAAAAGGATCCAATTTTTAAATAAAAGGTTCAACAATATACATACATTTCAGTGGTATATTTCATTCGGAATATTTTGGAATTAATGTAATTTTGGTAAATATAAAATAGCAGCTGGATTTTCAATGTTTAAATGTATTCAACTGATGAAAATGTGCTGCATAAAGTAGTTTGTTTGTTAAGTGAGTAATTAAAATAGTTTTAATTTAAAATTTAATTATCTTCTTTATCTTTTATCCTTCCTAAAACCGCCTATTGAAGAAAAACAAGAGCATAAGCAAATTAAGGCACAAGTAATTATTGATTCGGTTGGATCAACGTACTTTTGGCAAATTAATCGTTACTATTTACCTAACACATAATCCACATAATGAGTTTTAAACTCACCCTTTGAAGAAATTAACTATGAACAGTGAAACAATGAGAAGCACGAAAACAGTGAGAAGCTCGAAACAATGAAACAACCAATGAAAACGTGGTACAATGAAACTATAACTTGTTAAAGACAGGTAATGTGCAGAGGGTTAAGGCTAGGATTAGTATGCTTTCTAAAAAAAAGTGCTTTCTTTAAAAAGTGCTTTCTTTCTATATATTACCATAACTATTAGTTGAGTTCAGATTATGTTGATTAATAATTAGTAATCGAAAAGGTATTCTGGCTCGTAGATGAGTTTTAGCCTCATAAGCTACAAGTAAGCCCAACAAATCACTTAAATTAACATAATAATAGTACTGTGTGAGTACAGGAAACATTCGCTACAGGGCAGACAATGGGAAAGAGCAAGATAGGGACTAAGGAAATAAGTGTGTCTTTGCACTTGTAATTCTTCCACAGGAAGCCAACTAACTAACTGTGAACCGTATTCATACTTCGAAAAAGTAACATGTCCACATACTACATCTAGTATAAGTAGCAGCTGTAAACAGACATTACCCGTGTACACTTACTCTAAATTCTTTATCCATGAGAGCACATTCTTTCAATTCTTTATCCAATGCAAACCCATAATAGACAGGGTCATTAGTGACTTGACAGATATAAGAAGGATTGCATACGGCTTTATAGGCATTTAGACGAATCCTAGAAATAGAGGATCCAGCTTCAACGATCTGCTGCTTACATGTCAAACAATAACCTGCAATTTAAATACATCTGATTAATCATTCAGTATACAGATATATAATTATCATTACTTATCTGATGTTATATAGAAATAAATTATAATAATAAAGAATTAGCAATATGTGTAGTTAAAAGGAGAACTACAATATTACTCTAAAATATAAGGATGCTTTTCGCAATATTGCCCATACCTCATGCAACGATTAAATAATAAGAACTTTTTACAAATTAAAAAAGAAAATCGTACGTATTACGTTGATGCATATTGTTCGGGGAAAAAAAAAGAAAGCTTTCCTTCTTTGATGCAAGGAGTTGCGCAATCAAATAAGGAAAGGAATGATTTATTTTAGTGTGTTTGGGGTATGTTGTAAGAATAGATGTACTGCAGTTCTTTAGGCCTCTTTAGTATCTAAAAAAAAAAAAAAAAATTCTCTCGAAATGCAGTTTTAGTTGCGCATGAGAAGGTGGTTACAAGGGTATCGATCAGGAGAACTGGGTCGGTATTTTGATATACACACTTGTTCCCGGGATAGAAACCGCTCTACGCATATTTTAAGAGCGAAAGTAGACTGTGGTTATAATTTAACTTGACTAACTGATGGCGACTTAGAGTCTGGAAAGCCAGAAATGCGTTGCAACTTTTGTAAAATGAATCAGAATAGCATATGCTTCAGATAAACGAAAACAGAGGTAGAACATATATCACAGTTATAATTAACGTAACCATATCTTAATAAAAATACTAGAATTTTAATTAAACAGAGTCTTGCGAAAGTTCCATGCATCTACTTGAGTTATCAAAGGCAAAATGCATGAGGCTAATGACGGAGATACCAGAGGCAGACATATCATCTGAGATACTCTGTACTTCATTCATGATGTCTTCTCTTAAGTCATTCAGTATACAGAAATTATTCAGAGACTGAATAATTCTCGGATTTTTTATCTGAAATCTAACATCTACTTAACACATTTCAGAAATCCACCGGCATTAGATCACAGGATGTTAGAGATCATGAAAGTGGAAAATGATAGACCATGTGATAATCGAAAGGATTTTAAAACAGTCGTTTCGTATTAAGGCCGCATGGATGTGATACACCAGTCTCGATGGAAATGATAATATGTAAAGTGTTACATGACAGAAACTTTGAAATCACTTACATTGATTGTGCTGGTGCGTAGCCTCCCTACTCACCAGCACAATCAATGTAAATGTATTGCTTGTTAAATTGGCGTAATTGCTATTACTTTGCTGCCACTAGACTTCGATTTTAAGCAACAGGATTATCTGAGCCCTGGAGGAAATACTACTGTTTGTTAATATCTTTGAATTTTATGTTTAAGTTCTTGTTAGTTGAGTTAGGGCCCGAGCGAGGCGTCGTTTGTTAGCGTGAAGTCGACGCATTATGAATATTAAAGAGCTTAATAAAGGGTTCTTTTAACCCTTCTACTGTCTGGTCCCTGCACTTATTTCAGCTGTCACAGTGAAAGTTCAACAAGTAGATATGACAACCTAATGTACCAAGATTTTATACTACTTTTATCAAGATAATTAAGGAAATGCTGAAAAGACGTCAAGGCCATTGGAATGTTATATTATTATTGCAAATTTTTACTCAATATTGCACCGTCAAATTTCAAAAACATCATATAAGAAAGAGCAAGAAATTGTTACTGCTCGTTTATTGACAAAGAATGAATGATTGAGAGTGACTAAGACTTTGTCTATACGTATATGACCTCATAAGTCTCGAAAAAAGCCTTAAGTTATTTGTGAAATAGCCTTATTTTCCCCCACTTTTTTTATTATTTTTGTTATTTCCTATGTTTATCGCATAGCATGCATCAGAAAATTTGGTAATAATTCAGATAGCCATTTACCACTTTTAAGAAACTGCATAACTTAAAACGTTTCTTATAAAAATGCTCCAAAATAGTTTTGTGTGAACCAAAATAGTTTTCAGTGAACTTTTATTTTATTTTAATGATTAAAATACGCCTATATAAACACTAGCTGCTATGCGGCCAGCCTTCGTCTGACTTTTAAATGCACCGGAAAAATGCCTAAAGAGGTTAATGTTTTCATCAAACATTAAATTTAAAAACGGCACAGAATTTTACTCTGCAGAACAACTTTATTAAAAAAAATCCAAAAATTTCAATACAAATGTACTACATATAAAAAAAATACAATGGAAATAAGCAATAACCCTTTATACAAATATTAATTATCCTAATAAATAAATTAACCAACTTTCCATGCCAAAGTCTTCGAATTCAAATGTACTTTGCCAGTATTAGAAACGTTGGTTCCTCAAAAAAATCATGCAAAACTTTGTAGATAATTAAATTATCTCTATTAAAAATATATGAAAAAATTACAATAAACTCTTCATATTTCAAGAGAAAATGTCAGCAGCAGTCCAGGTAAGTATCCAAAGCAATGCATGAAAAAAACTGTTGCCAAAACCTTTATTTCTAAAAGAATGAAAACTATCATCGAAACAGAAAACCATCAAAATTGTTTTTTGGATGACATTACAAGCCAAGATACAAACCTCGTTGCAGTAGTACAGAGAGGAGAGCGAGAGAACGAGAGGGGGCAAGAAGTCTTTTTGTTGTGCCCGGCGCGGGAACCTGCGCGTCAGACAGAATCAAATTGCGATGTGCGTGTTGCGGTGGGTCCCCAAAATCCCCCGCAAGATAGCCGCATTTTTCACTCCTCCATTTTCAAAGTCAGCTAGTCCCGTATACAAAGCATTGAATGAAAAACTGTTGCCAAAACCATATTTCTAAAAGAATGAAACTATTCAACATGATGCGATTTCATTAAAAAAGATAAAATTAAAAAAAATCTGATTTGAATTTAAAAAAAACGCTTCGAGGTGCACTGGCTCTTGTCTAGATGCATCTATGTACCGAATTTCGTAGCCCTGGGTCTGTTCGCTTACGCGCAACACGAACGAAAGACAGGCACGCACACCACACAGACAGACTCTTTCTTTTATTATATGTTGATATTAGCATTTTTTTTTTTTCTTTTTTTTCTTTTTTCAAAACAGCATAAATTTTAAACGAATCTAAGCCAGTCTTCTTTGGATAATTTTACTAAGTTAATAAATATAGTGGTTAAATGATTATTTTATGTATTCTAATTAAACAAAGCAATAAATTCTAAAAATTATTTAGTTCTTGACATTAAAGTTTAGCTTTCAAATGCTTTACAAAAGAAAAAAAAAAAAAAAGCCTTTAACTGCCTCAGACAGTCTAACAGCTGGAAATGAAAAACAACTCATTGAAAAGAAACAATATGAGTTGGATGTTGAAAATGTGTCTTGTTATTGACTTCAAACAAAATCTGCTACAAGAGACAATGTATAAATCATCAAGTAAACATTGAGACGGGCAGAAACACAGTTAACATTGGTCACATTTTTACAAAAGCGATAGCCTCACACTTTGCACGCTCATCGTTTGTCAGTGAATCGAAGCAGAATCCATTGGTGCAACCACATTCCAAGTTCGTTGTCCAAGTAATCCGCCTTTATAAAAAGCATACTTAATCAAGTTCTTGGAACGATGAGCGCTGAACTGATATAGTGAAAAGTCTGCAGGGCCAGAAAACTATCGCGATGCCAAATCTACTCTTGGTCTTGATAATGATTGTGTCCATTATGTAACGAACAAAAGATTTGTACTGTCTGAAGAAATAAATGACATCCATGTTCTTCTTTGCGAGTAGAAAGCTCATTTATTTGATTTTCAATATTATTTTCTTTGCTCAGAAAAGAACTTAATAAATACTCTAGAAATCTCCCTTTCTTAAATAAAAAGTTGTAAGGAAGAGAAAACACCATTGCGTTTTAAACTTTAAATGGAATAATTTTCAATCTACGATCAAAATTCGATTTCCGCCAGAAAAGAGAGGGCACTTGTGCTAAGCCTCCATTTTCAAGAGGACCTTTGAACCCTGCTGTAGTATTTAACCTATTTTTTAAGTATGTAAAATTGTGTATATATTTTAAATTCTAAGACATCTGCTATGGTGAAAAAAATTACAGAAGAGGCCTCGATAAAATTTTTGTCTTTGGCCTCTGGTTTTGTAAATATATAACTTTTTAAAGAACAACCTTGAAATTTATCCTGACAATCAAAGAAACATTTTTCTGATTTAAATCCAATGCATATAGTGTCTATAAATATATTCTGGCTTTAAAAATTTTTGCACTGAAATGGGATATTTTTTGCCTTCACACTAAAAGTTGGAGAGTACGTTGAATGAAATCAGGGACAATATTGTCTAAAAAAACCAAAATTGTAACTAAAGAAAGAAAAAAAATAAGGTCATCAAGCGTTTTTTAACCTGTTGTATTTTAGGAATATAATATTTAGTTTTAATTATTTATGAATTATATTTCTCTTACAAGTTGGGGCGTGCGGTTTTTCGATAGTGTGGCCTCTCTCGATCAGCATGCGCACCATTTGGTAGTCTCCACAATGAGCAGCCAAAATTAGCGGTGTAATATCCGGAGAGTAATCGGGACTTTCTTTGTAACCATAAAATTCGCTTCCAGGATAAACTGCGCTACATGAGAAAATAATTTTCAGGTTAGTCAAGATTAGACGTCATGAATCTGCTGTACAACATTTTGTTTTTACTGTAAGTGCCGGTAAACATATATTATATGTATTTATATTTATTGTACTTAATTAATTAAACTGAATAAATTTATTGTATTGTATGGGAAATTAAGTTATTTATATAAGATTCGAAGACTTCGTATGAGTATTAGCATTAGGAAGAAAACTGTGCCCTCTTTGTATTGTAAGAAGTTGTTGCTATTTCTAACTTAAAAATGTATACTTTTCACAATAGATGGATGGAGCGACTTTCGCATCATATTATTTTCATTGCACTTTGAGTTATAGGATATATCATTTGGTTCGCCATTTAAGAATCAAATTTTGGAATCCTAGTGATTAAGCAAAATATATATGTGAGTGTCGTGGTTAGGTCAGGAATATGTCTTCTAGTGACACGTCGCAAATGTCTTAATAGTTTAGCACATAATGAAAGGTATTTATGATTAGTAAAACTTCCAGGAAAAAAAAAGTACAATGGCAACAAATTTTTGTTTTTGTTTTTCTGAAAAACAACATTTTGAAGTGGATATTTTCTATTTAGATTAAACGTTTTAAAAATATAAAATTACTTTAAAAGCATGAAATCATAAATAAAAAATTATCAGGCGAATTAGTCAATGATCCTTTCTGCCTTTAAGTCATTTCAGATTTTGCTTTTATGAGCTACTAAAACTTAAAAAATATATTTCTCTTATTGTAAATCATAAGCTTCAGTGTTTAAAGAAGCAGTTTCATAATGTACGGTAAAATCTATAAAGTTTATTGTACCAGCAAAAATTTAAATTTGCTGGGAAGCACTCGAGATTTTTATTTAACATTATTTCTAAAATTAGCTTATTAAATAACACATACATGCGAAAAGAAAAGAAAAGATTATTATGTAGGAAAATGGAATAGAAGATGGAAGCATTCAAATATTTGTTTATAGAAATTTTGCAGTTTCATGGTTATTTAATAAGCCAATAGAACTCCTTACTACTCATTTTAGAGAGTTTTCTTTGAATAGGCTCATGTCTGTATGATTTTTACAGCAAATAAGGAAATTAGAAACAAACTGATTGCATCATTTAGACACTTAAAATTTTTTATAGGCAGATCTAAAATTTAGAATCTCGATCGCTGTGGACGGTGCCGGGATAAATCCTAAACTAAAACCGTGAACTAGTTTTAATTTTATTCATTAGGGGATTAGTTGTCTTTCTACTCATGCCGTTTTTCCGGTTACATCTGCTCGTTCCAGAAAAGAATTAAATAGAAATAAATAAAAAAAATCTGAATTATGCCCAAAGTGGCTTGCGTTTTTTTACGTTTCGTGCAATACGTTTTTAAATTTACCAACAATTTAAAAAGTTATTCCTCATTTATAGTGAAGCAGTAAGCGAAATGTATAGCCCTCCTTGGAAAATTGTCCTTTTGGTCTAATAATAAAGATAACTCGAGAATGTTTGACTTGACTTGATTAAAAATTAAGATTGTCTTTAATATATGAGCTAGTTTCTATTACTGGTAGTCAACATAGTGATTTGGGATAAGCTGTCAATTCAGCCGAGCAATTCAAAGGTCAATGTTTGAGTAAGATAAGGAAGTTTGTACTTAGATTACTTAAATAAAAAATACAAAATAAATTTAAAAAAAAGTTTTAACAGTTTAAAAAACGCTTTAACAGTTTCTATGTTTTTTAGTTAATAGAACACGAGCTGAGATTTAAAATAAATTATAGTTCTTTATTACATAATTTTGCAGTTTTTTTTTTTTTTTTTTTTTTTTTTTTTTCAGGCTTTGATTTGTTATTTTTACAAAATCCCCACCCCTCCGTAAAGACCTCAACATAAAGGGTAAGAGCTTAGAGATCTTGGTGTCAAAACAGCCAGGACTAAACAGCATTTTACTGTACAGTTGTTCTCCTGCATTTAAGCAGCTACTTAACATTCATTAATAAATACTATTTAGCAGCTAGGTGAATACAAGAATTGTCACGCTTAGTTAATTTCTGCGTCTAGGAAGTTTCTATTAAGTTTTAAATATTTAAGTCTATCATTTTTCTTTTTAACGAGATGAAGTTGCTTGTAGTGATATTTTATTATTTTACGTTTAATCTTGCAGTATTGTTAAAAATGGAAATTTATTGCGTAATTTATAACTGGAACTATCAAGAGATGAGTAGTTTCACAAGGGTTTAGAAGAAACTTAAGAGCTAGCTCTGTCATGCAATGACAAGGTGCAATTACGAGTAAATGGCGACTACAGTAGCATATGCAGAGGTAGAATATAAATGAGCTGAATAATATTTAAGATTAAATAAGCTGAAGGTCTGAAATAAAAAAAATCTGAAAAAGAAAAGTCTGTCAATTAACAGTTTTTATTTAGAATATAGAAAATACATCGACATAAAATAACGACTCTTGGAAATACTACCTGATGGTAACTAATAATGATAAGATTGGTCATTTACCATTTATGACATAGAGTTTTAAATGATATCTGGGACACACATATTTTGTGTATTCCAGATTCGATTTCATGTACTTTCTGAGCCAAATTTTGAAATTAAATAGTATAAATTAAATAGTATAATTAAATAGTATTTCAAAGTTTCTCTTTAAAAGTGATTATATATCTGGAACTGACCTAGATATTATTTATCCATCAAACGCCATTAGTCCTTTAAGATGGCAATCCATAAAATATGTATTAAAACATAATTTCTTGATTGTGCCTTTACACATAATCTGCTAGAAAGTTATAAAAGCGCATTACAAAGCTTGATATTGCAATTAAAAGGGGGAAAACAAACTTATCATATCATTGGCACTTACTGTATGGCATCAAGAATCGTTTTTGTCAGTTCCGTGTTTCCAGTTGCTACAGCGTGCAAGGCAGCATCCCTGAAATCTAGGTCGTGTCGGCTGAACAAAAGTTTGACCAGTCTCTCGTTTTCTTTCTTGATAGCAATGTGCAGAGCACTGACACCTTTGTAGTTGATACAATTTATGTTTAGATTTGGATGATCCTGAAAAGGATTTTTTTTTTTTGTGTGTGTGTTAGCACTTTACTTTTATTCACATTCTTATATTTAAATTGGTGCAAACCGGGAAAAGAATATGAAATAAAATATTTTATTACAAAATAAAATATTGTCTTAGCAGTTTTGGAAGAAAACTTTGGAAGAATGCTTAGAAATTTTGAAATAATGCTTTTTTGAACCTTCCGCTATCTATGAATCTCACACATTGGTTTCTTTTCCCTAAAAAAATCTAGAAACTCTGTAATCGGGACCAGATTCAGAAATTTATGTATGTACGCACTGTATATGTGTATATGTGTGTACTATTTTATAGCATTATTCCGAATTTTTAAAGCAGTATATTAAGAAGTACAGAATACTAAATGGCATAAAAAATAAAACTGATTTAACTTGAAATCGTTTCATATAAATATTTTTCGCGAAATGCCATTTTAAAATTACATATATACCTGTATAAAATATACTGTACACTTATTCGATTACGTAGAATAATTTAGCAACTGTATTTGTAATTGGAAAGTAGTACATACCCTACGAGCAACGACTGCGAAAACAAAGGCCTTGTAAGAGGTATATATACTTTTGGTGCTGTCGATTGCAATAAAAGAGGGAGGTGCACAACTAGATGTTACAGCACTCCCATACACAAAAGTTCAAAATTGGC